CCTAGTAGATTTAAGCATCTTAGAACAAAGCTTTATCTGCATCTCGTTCAATAAGTTCTTCTAGAATCTGCCGGACTGATCGGGAATTACCGCGTGTAAGCAATAATCAGGCCGAGGCAGCGGAGCTCAGGGGTTCTGTGGAATTGGCCATTTATAGCACGGAGTGTGTCAATATTTGGGGCATGGGGGGGGGGCCTTAAACTAAAGCCCATGACATCATCAAGGGGTCACAGAATATTCAGTGAGGACATAGTACAGGAGGTGGTCAGAGATGGCAGACACAGTACAGGAGGTGGTCACAGACATCAGGCATACTACAGGAGATGGTCAGAGACTGCAGACACAGTACAGGAGATGGTCAGGGACTGCAGACACAGTACAGGAGATGGTCAGGGACTGCAGACACAGTACAGGGAGATGGCCAGAGACTGCAGGCACGGTACAGGAGATGGTCAGAGACTGCAGACACAGTACAGGAGATGGTCAGGGACAGCAGACATAGTACAGGAGATGGTCAGAGACGGGGCAGACACACTACAGGAGATGGTCAGAGACTGCAGACATAGTACAGGAGATGGTCAGAGACGGCAGACATAGTACTGGAGATGGGATGGTCAGAGACGGGGCAGACATACTACAGGAGATGGTCAGAGACTGCAGGCACGGTACAGGAGATGGCCAGAGACTGCAGACACAGTACAGGAGATGGCCAGAGACTGCAGGCATACTACAGGAGGTGGTCAGAGACTGCAGGCATACTACAGGAGGTGGTCAGAGACAGCAGACACAGTACAGGAGATGGTCAGAGACATCAGGCATACTACAGGAGATGGTCAGAGACTGCAGAGATAGTACAGGAGATGGCCAGAGATGGCAGACATACTACAGGAGATGGTCAGAGACTGCAGACATAGTACAGGAACAGGAGACTACAGATCTGTTGGAGGAGACTGTCAGACCGGGCACGTTACCTGAGACGATCACTGCCAATACAATCTTCCTAATCAAACCCCCCCTACTGACTTCTGGGGGTTGGGGGGCACACAACAAGCGCTGCAGTACAGTAACTTAAGTTGGGTTAAAGCTGAACTCCAGGCAGTTCTTTCCAAACTGGCCCCTGAATGGGAGGGAGGGAGGGGAGTAAGACCTCTGAATGAAGGGGGGGGATG